GTCGGCGCTGGCGCCCACCAGGCCCTCCGCGCGGTCCAGGCGGTGAAGGACCAGCTGTCGGGCGGCCTGGCCAAGCCGGCCTCCTGTCTCCACCGCGAAGGGCGTCAGGAGCGGCGTTGTTGGCCCTGGGGGGTAGCGCCGGTGCTTACCCCGCTCGGCGTCCTCGGCGGCCAGGCCCGCGTGGGTCGCTCTGGCCCGCTCCTCGCGCAGCTCGGCGGAGTCGGGGCTCGTGACAACGACGTCGACGACGTGCCAGGTGCCATTCTCAACCCACTGGACATCCAGCACCGCCACTTCCATGCGGTCCTGGCCGGTCGCGGGGTCACGGCGCCGCCGGGTGCATTGCGGCACGGTCTGCTCAGTCCGCACTTGAGCCAGCAACCCTCCTGGCCAGCCAGCGCGCCAGTAAGTCGCGGATCCGGTCGTGCTGCCAGGTGCGGGCAGGGCCAGTCTCGCACGCGATGGCGTGGTGCTGGTCGGGCTCATGCAACGCTCCGCAAACCACTCCCTCGCGGGAGTCCTGCTGCTGCTGCTGCTGCCGCTGCCTCGCCTCCTCGGCGGCGCGGCGCTGCTAAGCACTGTGCAGTTCCTCCGCCGCCTTCGCCTCAGCCAAGCACTCGAACAGCTTCTGCGCCAAAGCCGGCTTGCCACCAAAGCCTTCGAGCAATTCGCCACATTTCTCGACCGTGAGGTTGCTGGCAAGGAGTTGCTTGAGCCCCTGTGCGCCGTCGTCAATGGGCTTCAAAGGGGCCCGTGGCGCGCCGGCCACCAACTGGCACCGCTCGGCCTCCAATTCCGTGATTTCCGCGACTGTGGTCTGAAGCGCTTTGGCCGCGTCCTCCACGGCCTTCTGCGTTTCTGCCACAACATGCTTGAGCTCCTCGACCAGTTCTGTCTTGCGCTCCCGCTTTTTGACCAACTTCGTGTGCTGAAAGGACATACCTTTGAGCCGCGTGTCCAGATACTTGCCGCGAGTGATCTGACCTCGCAAGGTGGTCTGACGCGCTCGCAACTTCTCCCGCAACTCATCGAACTCTGGGCCTTCCATATCTGCAACTTTCTGCAGCTTCTCGGTGACTGCCCCGAGCTCCTTGCGTAAGTCTGCGTCGCTGTCCCTGCCCTCGTCGACATCCATGGTGTCGCCGTCGGGCTTTGTTGCGACCTCCTTCTTCCGTAGCTGTGTGACTTCACCGCGCAACCTCTTGAGCTCGGCAGTGAGCTTGGGGTCGGGCTGCGCTGGGGCCTCAAGCGCCGACGCAGAGCTGGCTGCTTGATCCCTGCAAATGCTGACGCCTTGGGCTGCTTGCGTAGCGAGCAGTGATCGAGATCCGCTCTGTTCCACCACCTATCGCCAGTCTGATGCTACCAGCAGTGCTTGCAATACCATGGCTTGGCCCACGCCTGGCGTTTCCGCTTGTGGCCTGAGGGCGGCGCACCGCCTTGCGAAGCATGAGAGGGCGCCATGGGCCTTCCGTACTGGAGAATGAAAAAGAAATCGTGTTGTGCTCAGGCGGGAAGCCCGCGTACAGTACACGGTATGCAGCAGCGCCTCCAGGCTTGGGCAGGCCACTCGGGAGACGCGAGAACGGTCGGGGGCCGCACCTCCCCACGCCAGAATCTCAAATCCTGAGCCGAACATTACGGACTTGAGCCAAAATGGCTTGAGCCAAAATGGTTACGGACGACGAGGACGAGGAGGACGAGGAGAAGGCGGAGGAGAAGGCGGGGGATAGAGAGGAGGACGGAGGGAGGAGGTGGAGGAGGAGGCGGACAAGGAGGAGGAACATGATGAGGAGGGAGGAGAAAGAGGAGGAGGAGGAGGAGGAGGAGTACGAGGAAAACGTGACAATCAGAAGAGCCTCCTCGGATGTCTCTTTTTATTTTGTTTTGATGGGGGGGCCTCTTGGAGCGTCTGGGGGGCATCTTGGGTGCCTCATGGATCCTCTTGAAGCCTCTTGGAGGCCTCTTGGGCGCCTCTTCGGGCCGTCTGTGCATGTGGTCGGCGGAAACGCGCAGTGGTAACTATTTCCTCGATCTTTTCATGAACTCCAAAAGCTCAAGCTCGACCCATCGAGCTTCCTTGTCTCTCCGCGCCTCCAAGCGCGAGCGAGGGGGCGCTAGGGCCAAAAAGGGCAGTGGTACACATACGGATGGGCTCTGCAAAGTACCTCACTCGCACTCCTTGCACTCTCGAGTCCCTGTGTTCAGGCTTGCTCAGAACCATATCTGCACGGATAAGGGTCCTTCAAGCTGAGCATACTATCTTCGTCGGAATCACCACTCGAGAGGGCCTCGTAATCAGGAAACTCCAGATTTGCTGCTCCAGAGGCTGGCTCCCTTGATGACCCCCAGCTTCTCACGACCTCCTGTGGGACATTCTCGAATGGAAGGATCCCTGCTGCCTTCCTTTTACTGCGCTCTGGTACTTGGCGTCATAGACCAGCTTCCAGCGGTGGCCGCTGTTGAAGTACATCCTCAGCTGTCCTTGCTCGTGCCCCTTGGTCAGTGAGTTGGCTAGTTGAGCATCGCCGTGGACCCAGAGCGACCAGTTGTTGGCGGCCTGGGTTCCTTCCTTCAGCGTCATCGCCTCCACGTCAATCCGCTTCTCCTTGCCACGGAAGGTGTAGACTGTAGTCTGGAGCTTGTCGTACAGGCCCGTGGCGTCCACCACAACGGCCCCTGGGAGCTTGGCAAGCGTATCCCCCGGGTTCAGCCAGTCGATGGAGTTGCCGAGCATCTCGAGCCGCTGCAGCTTGACGCCGAACAGCTCGTCCTCCGCGTCCACTGCGGACCGTGTCTCACAGGCGACGGAGCTGCGACAGCCTCGGTCGATCTTGCCGGATTTCCACGACACCAGGCTCACGTCGGTCTCGTCACCCTTCAGGATCTTCAGCGGGGCCATGCCTGCAATCAGACCCTTGGTGGACTTCCCGTCGGGCCGATTCGACTCGGATGAGTCGGACCACTCAATCGGCACCAGCACTTGTGCCTGTGAGTGGCTGTGGATCACCACCGGCAGGTCAGCGCACTCTCGCACCCGGTCGACCAGCCTGTTCGTCTCGTTGATTGTTTGCACCGTTGACGAGGGGATTGTGCTCAACAGCAGGCTTGTGTCGGCAGAGTGCATTGGGCCAGCTTGCTCGGAGCGCCAGCCGACGGCGCCCAGGATTGCCCTGAGCTGACCCTTCTCCTTGTCGGTGGCCGCTCGGGGGTCAGGAAGGCCTTCTCAATGGTCTTCACATATTCACTCTGGTCCATGCGAAAGCTCCTGTCGGGCTGCTGCTTGATCCGCACCCTGGTCTGCATGAACTCCTCGGTCTCCCACGTCTTCCACTTGAAACGCCCTTGAATCTGCTCTCGAGCCTTGACCCATCGCGGATCGAATTCCTTGCCGCCCAAGAGGAAATCATCCACGTGCGACCTGGCGACCGCCACGATGTCGAGGTCCATCTTGGAGCCATCTTGAGGCCTCGGATGGCCATCGGAAGCGAAAAAGCAAGAAGGCACACATGTTCGGTGTTCCTTAGGTTTCGGAAGGATTTTGGCCTCTTGGCGGCTTCCTTGGATGTCTCGGAGGCCTCTTGGAGCCGTCTTGGAACCTTCTTGGATCCCCTTGGACCATTTTGGAAGCCATCTTGAGGCATCTCGGGCTATTTTGAGCCATCTTGGAGGTCATCTTGGGCTCTCAGAGTCCCTCTTGGAGCCGTCTTGGACGCTTTGACCGCTCGCGACCGCCCCCGTCCATGTCCAGGGGAGAGGGTAGGGGGAGGGGTCAAGACCCCCTCCCCGCCCGCAAGCCGTCTCGCTCACTCCCACCCGCCCTCCCAACACATACGTAGCACCCGAGTCGGGCCCGAGCCTCAGCATATTCAGCAGTCGTCTTTGGATGGGGAGCTACTGGGGGCCAATCCGCCGCCGCCGCCGCCGCCGCCTCCGCCGACGCCGCCGCCGCCGCGCCGCCGCCGCCGCCGCCCGCCGCCGCCGCCGCCGCCCGCCGCCGCTGCCGCCGCCGCCGCCGCTGCCGCCGCCGCCGCGCCGCCGCCGCCGCCGCCGCCGCCGCCGCCGCCGCCGCCGCCGCCGCCGCCCCCGCCGCCGCCGCCGCCGCCGCCGCCGCCGCCGCAGCCGCCGCAGCCGCCGCCGCCGCCGCAGCCGCCGCAGCCGCCGCCGCCGCCAAGTGTACTCTGTATTGTTTTTTGACAGGGATGGTGGGGGGGCCGCATCGGGTTGGCTGCGCATGTTCCGAATTTGGAGGCAGAGTGTGTGTTGTATTGTTTTTTGCAAGGGATGGTGGGGGGGTGTTGTCATGGACTCGGGTTGGCCCCCAGTCGCCTGGGGGAGGGGGTGTTTATTAATAGGGAACAGTGATAAACCCGTCCCCGAAGGGGAAAAGGGGGGTTGGAAGAGGAAACACTCTAGACCACCTTGTGCCTGAAAGGGCTGGTGGGATTAATGATTAACAGATGGGTCGAATGCTCCAGCTGTGATCGTCTCAGGGCATTTCGTTTTTGTTCTCGGGGCGCCGGATGCCGGATTCTTGGTGTGAACCTCTCGCTTCACAGGACGGTCGGCGCAATTGGGCGCCTCTCCTGTCGTGGCCTGGGTGGGGGGCCCAGAGGGTGCGAGGGACGCCTGCCGGGCCACAAGGATGAAGCCGGGCCTCCGGGACCCCGTCGTCGTCGTCGTCCGCATGGTCCTCTTCCTTCTCCTTCGGCAGTGTACGAGCGCGTCACTGTACGATACCGGCTGGTGGCACGGCAATATCCAGTAAAGTTTTGCATTCTTCGAGTTTCGCTTGTTCGCTCCTCCTTCCTCTCCTTGTCCTCCTCCTCGCACTCACCTTCCTCCTCGTCCTCTTGTCCGTTCCTCCAGTTTCCCTCGCCTCCCCTCGCTCTCCCGCCCCCCATGCCTAGGGGCGTCGTGTGTGTGTGTGTGCCCCGAGTTTCCTGTGAAGGCTCACCGTGCAAGTGACCGCACGAACGCGGCTTTTGCTGTGGACCCAGGTGGGCTCCGTGCTCTCTGGCCTGCCCGTGGGCGCAGCGGTCGGCCGCGCCACGTCCGCGGCCACGGCGGCAGGCTTCTCCGACGACCGTGCGACGCGAGCTGGGTGGGCCGCCGTGCCAGGCATTCGCTCGATTATACAAATATAGTTCACTCCCTTGTGGAAGCTCGTCTGTCCCTCCCTTTTCCATGCCGGTTCTTGCTGGGAGAAGGCATCATCTCGACCCGTGTACCCTGAAGTTGGGCAAGACTAGCGACCCCAATGATACCCCAGGCTCAGAGGCATCTCCATAAGCCAGGGTTTCTCCACCACCCCACCCCAAGATCACTAAGTTGTAGCATCCGCTTGTCGCCTAATGTTGCTGGGTCTTCGAGGGGTCTGTCGGTGGGGGGGTTGAGCGCTGCCCAGGCATCCTGACACTCGCGTGCGGTGGTATGTCCATGGTGAACCTGGCACTTTTGCCAAGCGAGCGATCTCGCCTGGCCTCGTCATCAAAGTGTGAGCGCGTGGAGCGCGTGGACGCGACCGAGGACGAGGAGGTGACAGAGAAGCTCAAGGGCGCTTGATTATTTACATATGCTCTCGGCAGTGTCCGGCGTATGATTAGAGCACAGAGCGACTATAGAGGCCCTGTTGAACGCTGCAATGCCAAGAAGCGAGTACAGAAGCATTACAGTACATTTCGTTGAGTCAGGAGTTGATTCAGCCACTAGTCATTTTTTCCCGCGTCAATTTGTTTCATTGGTTTGCGCTCATGGCGGTAGCCTAACCAATTGGTTCAGGTGCGTGCAGGCTTGTACATACCCCAATGCGTGCATCTGTTCGGGCACATACTAGCATGTATATCGCACATGTGGATCTCCACATGTGACTTCACGCAGGAGCGCATGCACTTACATGCCATTTACGCTGCCGCGCATCGCCGCCAGCGTGCTTGCTGCAGCTTCGTAGCCACGCTGTAGCGTGGCAAGGGTGTCGCGTTGCATTGTCGTTACCTCGCATTTTCTCGGGGTCCCCTTGGGGGACTCATGGTGACCTCCTCGGAGCTTCTTGGGACCTTTGGACGCTTCTTTGTAGGGTTCTTGGGGGTCTCGAGGCCGGTGGGAGCCTTGGAGCGGTTTTATGGTTGTCTGGACATTTTGAGTTGGTCCTGACCAATCGTGAGGCCGTCGTCGGGACATCTGCAGTGCCCTCTGGTCCGCCAGCTTTCGAGAGCTGCTGCCATCCACGTGCGATCTGGAGAGTTTATTTCGCCGTGTCATGGCTTCCAGCACCCACGCGACGCGCGAGCCTGAGTGTGATGGCACCAGGGCCGTCTTGTGCCGAGGTTGGGCGTCCTGGGGGCAGGGGGGAGCAGTATTGAGCAGTCTGGGCCAGTATTGAGCAGCCTTGGGGGCATATGAAGGGGCTGTGGACTGTCCTGGAGGCGTCTTGTGGCTCTCCAGTGGTCTTCTTTGACTGCTGGGATAGACCCAATCTTGGGTCCGCGAGAGGTGGAAGGCAGGCGCATATGTCCATGGCTAATTCAATGGGTTGGGCCTCTCAGGGCCTGCTGTGGAGCCTCCCAGAGGGCTCCTTGCCTGCTGGCACTCTACACGGGAGCTGGTAAGGGTAATCAGGTTGCATTGGGCCGTCAGGAGGCCATCTGGGCAGATCTCGGAGCCACTTGGGAATCACCTGGGGCTTTTTGGAACCTTTTGGGCCAATGCAGACTGTTTAGATGGCATGGGCCTTCGGAGTAATCTTGAGTCCATACGTCGGCTATCCTGACTTGCAAGACACGGCATGGCGCCAAAGGAACTACAGTCTGCCAATGGACCCCACGGGATCCCTCGCGCGCGATTAAACATCCAACAGTGAATATTTCTCTTTGTGAGATAACACGCCTTGAGTCCGAATGGGGCAGCGGATTTTCCAGTAAGCCTCGCCGACCCAACCGCCATGGCCGCTGTCACCCACGAGGGTGTTATGAGAAGTGTGGCCTTGACGTGTAGGCAGAGTTCTTACTCACTGGCCACGAAGAGCTATCATGGCAGCTCGCCAGAGGCAACAGCCTCCAATTGGATGAGCTCGCACGCTGAAGCCACAGCGCGAATGCGCACTCGGCCGTTGGTGCCCAGACCCCCGAGAAGAATGAGCGAAAACATGAATACGGGCATGTGCGCACACACGGTCTCTGTCGACATTACCACTGATTTAGAGACGCGCCTCGATTGCTACTCTCTGCTCGGCAAGAGGACGTCTTCACTGCATGTGTCGCTTGGTGTTTGTTCATACTGCGTACAAGAACGGGGACGTCGGCACGCAGAATGTTTACGGCAGGGATCAAACACAATTCAGTCCAGTTGTCCCAGGTCTCAGGCGTCCCCTAGCACACCTCGTGCCCCCCTCTGTCACTCCAAGCTTTCGAACGACTGTCCCCATGGGTTCAGCTTGTCATTCCCGTCTGGCACTTGCGACTGGTAGTCCTGAGTTCCCGTGCAGATTCCGCCATGACTGGGGAGTGTCGACGGCGTGGCGTGATAGCCAGATCGCGTGAAGCGCCACCCATGTCAAACCTACTGTGGAGGCCGTGAGCAACGCGTCGGAAGTTGAGGTTGGGCTACAGTCAAGCCGTGGCGTTCTCAGGAGAGCTAGTTCTGGCCTAGCTCAGCCGAGCGTACGGGCTCCAGTTGCCTTCTGGGTTTTCTCAGCAAGATCTGCGCCTTCTGCGCCTGCCGCTCCTCCTCATTCTCGTCGGCCCGTGTTCCTTCTGTGGTCTCCTTCGCCTTCGCCTCCCCCTGCTCCTCCTCCCCCTCCTCCCCCACTCTTCTCCTCCTTCTCCTGCTCCTCCTCTTCCTCCTCCTATTCCTCGTCGTCCTCATCCTCCCCTCGCCTCCTTTACTCCCAAAAGGGAGGGGAGGAGTGTGGAGGGGGAGGACAGCTGTAGAGGGGCTTTAGAGGAGTGAGAGGGGTGCTGAGGAGGGGTTCTGCGAACTTATAGGGGGCATCTCAGTTCTGTGAGCCAAGGACGCACGACAAGGAGGGGCGATGGAAAAGGGGAGGAGGGAGGAGGATGAGGATGTATGTCGGAGGGGTACTCGATTTTTCTGTGCCTGTACGATGCTCTGGAGGGTCCTTCTCGTGCTGCTGCTCCTCCTCCTTCTTCTCCTTTTACAATTACTCAATATGAAAATACTCTCCCTCTTCCCCTGATGGCGTCCAGGTGATGGCCGCGCACTCTCCGCGTACTGTTTTTTTACACAGGATGCCCGGGAAATCCCGGGAAACGACTCTCGCTGAGGCGCCGGCGTCATTTTCGGGCCGAACGCCCCCCGCGTATTGTTTTTTTACACACAGGATTCCCGGGAAACGGGTTTTCGCCTGCGTTTTTTTTATGATGCTCTCGCTGAGGCGCCGGCCTCATTTCTGCTCCCGAATCGTTCCGAATCGTGCTCCCGCTGCAGCGTGGGCCTCATTTTCGGATCGGTGTTTGGCCTCCGTCGTTCAGGATGGCGTTCTCGCCCCAGCGCGGGCCTCTTTCTCGCGCGCCCATCCGCCCGCCACCACCGCGCCGCACCACCACCACCACCACCACCACCACCACCACCACCACCACCACCACCACCACCACCACCATCATCACAACCACCACCAGCACCAGCACCACCACCAGCACGAGCACCAGCACCAGCACCAGCACCAGCACCACACACACCACCACCACCACCACCACCACCACAACCACGCACACACGCACGCACGCACGCACGCACGCACGTGCACCACCACCCACTACGCACGCGCGCGCGGAGCCACAGGTCCGCTACGACACGCGTCCGCGGATAGAGAAAATCAGCGCCATGGTAAGGGATGGGAGGGAGGGGTAGGACGTCAGATATGACGCGAGCGCACCTAGCTTGGCTTCACCCCTCTCCCTCCTCCCCTCCTAGCTCCTCCCTCCCTCCCCCTCCTGACATCTATTGCACTCCTCGCTCCTTCTCCTCTTCACTCCTCATCCTCCTCCTCTTCTTCCTCCTTCCGAGGACCATGAGGCTTCCTCCGCCTCAGGTAGACCTGCGACCATTTGGCGTGGGATGGTTGCGTCGTTGTCCCTGGGGCCCAGGTCAAGGTGGGGCCAGCCTGGCCAGGAGATAGAGAGAGACCCTTGGAAGCCCGAGCCCGCCACCGATCGAGGCGGAGCCCCACCCCCGCCCGGCACACCCAAGCCAGCTCGGATTGTCTGAGCCGCTCGCGGGGGTTCGCGGGGGGGGGGCCATCCAGCCGTGGCGGCACGAGGGGCATCCGGTGTAGGCACACAACGGGCCAAGAGCGTCCAAACACAAAGCTCGTCGATACTCCTCCGTTCCCTCTCTCCTCGCAATCCGCTTGCCTCTGCACGTTTCGAGGTCCCCTCCGCCTCCCGCTCGCGGCCCGCTTGCCTCTGCACGTTCGCTTCAAGCACCGCTTCTCAAGACGTGGCAGCCGTTACCCCTGGGGGCGAGACGCGCGGTTCTTGAGCAGGCCCCGGAGCGTTTAGCGCAGGGATCATCAGAAAGAGCCGCGTGTTGGGACCTCCTGCGGTTCCCGACCCCTTCCCCCAGGGCAGGCTTTCCATGCCGAGTCGTTTTGTCGACGGCCCTGGGCCCGAGAGACGGCCTCCGTGGGCCGAGAACGTTCAGAAACGGGCCGTCACGATTTTCCAGCGGCGCCTGGATTATGAGGGGAGGAGGAGGTCCCCTCTCAGAGTCTGGAGCGTGGGACTTTGCAAACCAAGACCTTGCCCGATCCAGTGGCCGAGCGCGACAAACATGGATCTGGTTGACCCAAAATGGGGCCCAGCAAAAACAGGGTGGTGCTATATATCTGGTGCGCAAGAATTGTGGGGTTGCAGTCGATTTGGGGCGTGCAGTACAGTCCAGTGCGCAGATGTATTGCTACATTTTCGAGTTTAATGCATTAGTTGCAATGCAACGCAATACAAGTCTCCAGCGCAGTGCATATGCCATACTGGACCTCCTCTAGGGTCAACCAAAATGGAGAGTGCGTCGAGCCAGGGCTGCAGCCTTCTCTGGTGCTGCCGCCCTGGATCCTGACCCCCGCAGGCTTCCGGAGGCCCGACAAGGGCCAAAAATGTCTGAAAGCCCTTCCCTCCCCATCCTCTGAGATGCGTGCGCTGCGTTCTTTTCACAACGGGCGTTCCCAGGGGCCCTCACCTATCGCTCCGGCTCGACGAATGACGCAGAGAAAGACCGGGGCTGGGACTCCAGTCGTGTTGTTGCGCTTTGCAAGATTTTCGCAGCGTCGGATCTCAGGGTCAACCCTCGAGAGACGAGGCCCCCTCAGCCCCCTCATCGGCCCCGAAGAAGGTCCCTGCTCGCGGAAGGGAGCCCCCCTGTCGGCCCCCCTCCCATTTCGCCTTGCCCCCCCCCCCCCATCTCTCATGGCGCCAACATCGCTGAGCGGATTTCGTTCGGAAAACGATGGGATGGGCCAGGACTGTCCTGGAGAATGTCGCTCCGGATTTCGAGGTGAATTTCGTGCGGATTTTTTCTGGCCCGGAATGAAGACCCAAACAAATCCACGCGAAATTAATTTCGTTTTTCGCTCGCCGTTTCGGGGATTTGTATTGACAGAAATCCACGCAACAAAAAACGCTGCAGCACGTCTGCAAGGTCGGTGCAGTGACATTTCCACGCTCTCCGTCGCATCCCTCCCCTTGGATAGTGAGTTACGGAATCTTCCGCTCGTCTCCATTGAATGTATATCGGCGAATAGCGCCCAAGAGCGCCCACTGGCGCCCAATAGCGCCCAAATAGCGCCCAGTTGGCGTCCAGATGGCGCCCCATAGCGCCCTTGGACGCGCTATTTGGAGCCATTGGGACGGCCCAAAGCTTCCGTCAGCTGCTTTCAATCTCTTGTCTTGGCTCTCGACGAAATGGGATCCTTTTGGAGCTTCGAAGTCCGCTATGACACCCGTCGGCAGATCCAGAAAAAACAACAACACACTGGGAGGGGATGCGTGGAAGGGTAGGATGCCAGATGCTGCACGAGCGCACCTAAGCTTGCCGTTTGCCCTCCTTTGCCTCGGCCTCTTGCCGCAGCCCCTTCCCTGGCGCTCGCGTCCACCATTCCGACAAGCCCATCGTCTGACGTAGTCGCTGCCGCGACGAGGGCGCCGAGGGCCTCGATCCCCTCGCGGCCTGGTGCCATGGAGCGCTCGATGCCGAATTCTATGTAGACGCATCGCCCATGGGCGAACCGACCCCGACTCGGCGTCGACCTCTTTCGCCTGGCGCGATACGGCTGCGGTCATGGGCAAACTTCGCCTGGCGCGATACGGCTGCGATACCTGCGCTCGATGCCGATATCTATGTAGATGGGCAAGCCGACCCTCACTCGGCGTCGACCTCTATCGCCTGGCGCGATACGGCTGCGGTCATGAGGAGCGGCCGGGAGGGGCCCGCGGCGTCGCCGGGCGCGGGCGCCCCGCCTCGGCGCCTGGCCCTGGCCGCGCGGCAGGCGGCTGCCGCGGGCGCGCCGAGGAGCGGCCGCCGCCGCCGCCCCCCGTCCGCCGCCCGTCGTCCGTCCGTCGCTCGTCGCTCGTCGCTCGTCTTACGTCGAGGCTGCTTGTTATTTCTCAAACAGTTGTTGTGCACTTCCTAAGTTGGCTCCTCGTTTTCTCTGCACTCCCCCGCGCAGGAGCACCCTTCCACATCATCATCATCATCATCATCATCATCATCATCATCATCATCATCATCATCATCATCATCAGCATCATCAGCATCATCAGCATCATCATCATCATCATCAGCATCATCATCATCATCATCAGCAGCAGCAGCAGCAGCATCAGCATCAGCATCAGCATCAGCATCAGCATCGGCATCATCAGCATCATCAGCATCAGCATCATCAGCATCATCATCATCATCACCATCACCATCACCATCCCCATCATGATCGTCATCATCATCAGCATCATCAGTATCACCATCATCACCATCATCATCAGCATCGTCATCACCTGCATCATCACCATCATCATCATTCGCAGCAGCACCAGCATCATCATTATCATCATCATCATCATCATCATCGTCATCAGCATCACCATCATCTGCATCAGCATCATGATCATCAGCATCATCACCATCACCACCATC